ATGTACCAAATGACAGAATGTATGCTCCCCCACCTCAGCCTTCTAAGTACTTGGGGCTATAGGCACGTGCCAGTATACTTACATTATGCCTATATTCTTAATTATATATGCAAAAAATGTCTGGTACAGAATGGTGAGCAAGAAACTGACTTTAGGATAAGGAAATTCAGGAGGCAGGGATGTGGCTCAGCTGGTGCTGTCACCCATGAGGACTTGGGTTCAGTCTCCCTGTACCAGTATTGAACAGGGGATGATGATACATGTCTGGAATTCCAACATGTGGTGGGGGAAGGGCAGAAAGATCAGGAGTTCAAGTTCATTCTTGGTTACAAAACGAGTTTAAGGCTAGCCTAGGTTAATATATATATATATATATGTGTGTGTGTGTGTGTGTGTGTGTGTGTGTGTATATATACACACGTATATATATATATGTATAACTATAAATGCAATTGTATATAAAATCATGTATATTTCACCTCCAAGATGGTTTCTAAAAAGTAAATATTACTTGTAAAACTTAAAACACATAAAATGAGTACTAAAATATTAATACAGAAAGAAACAATTCAGAGAGAAAATGCTCATGACATTTACCTGACTGGTTTCATTGTTGTTGTTGTTGTTGCTGCAGCTGCTGCTGTTTTTTAAATTAGCTGTATATATAGTATATGTGCTTTTACTGATGTTGAGTGCAGATATAATCTGGTAAAATTAAGCCTTGCAGAAAAGACTTTCTGTGCCTTTGCTTCCTGCCCCCAGCTTCCTCCTGTGCACATGTATGTTGCATAAATTATATGTCTTGTTGCTGTGACAAAATTCCCAACAAAAGCAACTTCAGGGAGGAAGTGTTTACTGTGGCTCACAGATCAAGGGCACAGTCCATCATGGTGGGGAAGGCAAGGCAGCAGGAGTGAGGCAGCTGCTCACATCACACGCACAGTCAGGAAGCAGAGAGAGGAGTGCTGTGCTCTGCTAACTTTACCCTTTTTTCTCAGTACGGGACCCCAGCCCATGGGATCATGCTGTCTACAGCTAGCGTGGGTCTTCTCATCATAACTAACCAAATCTAGAAACTCAGACACGCCCAGAAACTTGTGATCCTAGGTGATTCTAGATCCAGTCAGAGTGAAAATTGACACTGGCCATCCTATCAACCACAGCACTTGCATACAGCTTGTGGGAGTGAGTTCTCTCTCATCCACCATGTGGTCCCTGGGATTGAACTCAGGTCATCAGGCTTGGCAGCAAGTGCCTTTACCCACCAAGCCTCACCTCACTGGCCCAATGTGCTTTTAAAAGACTTTTATCACATTTGTTTGAGACCTCTGCAATTTCATTCATCATTATGTCTGACTCCATGTCAGTGAACGACATGATGTCCTCACTGTTGCTGAACTAGAAATCTAGAGAACAGAGCTGCACAGGATGGACAGCCTCTCTCTCACCACAGCTCAGGTTGGTCAGAGCTCCCTATTTTTAACTCTACAATGAATTCTCTTCTTAGAGATTTCTTAGGAAAAGACTCCGGGAATTGGAACTTCTAGGTCCCTGGTAATTTGCACTTATTTCATCAGACACTCCTCCAAATGGACCACTTAAATGACTGTACAAGACTCATGCTCCCGTGAGGAGCGCGGGCACACAGCACTGCCAGTGCGCTGCCAGAGATGCTCCTTTTTGTTAAGCTGTTAATGGAAAGTAGTAGCTGCTATTTTAACTTGAATTTCCTTGAAAAACCGGATGTGTATCTTCATATTTGTTATACATATGTATGTTTCTTTCATTCTCTCCCTCTTCCTCCCCCTCCACTCTTATCCTCTCTCCCTCTCTCTTCTTCTCTCTCTCTCTCTCTCCCTTTCTCTCCCTCCCTCTCTCTCTTTCTCTCTCTCTCCCTCCTTCCTTCCCTCCCTCTCTCTATTTCTCTTTAGGCTTAGTATCAAGTCTTTTGACTGCTAAGCATCTTGTATACCTTTTATACAATCTTTGTAAATCTTCACTGTACGGCTATCTTCTTTTCATTGATTTGCAAGAGTCCTTTAAATATTACAGAAACCAAACCTCCATTTCATATGTGCAAGTAGACTCTTCCAGTCTTTCTGTTTTGACATTCATGTGATTTTTTAAAGATTCTTTTGTTTTGTTTTGTTTTTGTTTTTGTTTTTGTTTTTGAGACAGGGTTTCTCTGCATAGCCTGGGCTGTCCTGCAACTCACTCTGTAGACCAGGCTGGCCCCAAACTCAGAAATCTGCCTGCCTCTGCCTCCCAAGTGCCACCACTGTCCAGCTTTAAGATTCATTTTTAATTATATGTATGTATGTATGTATGTATGTATGTATGTATGTATGTATGCTTATGTGTGGGTTTGTGCACATGAGAGGGAATGGGATCCCTTGGAGATGGAGTTACAGGTGGTTGTGAACCCATGGAGGTACATGCTGAGAACTGGACTAAGGTCCTCTGTAAGAGCTGTATACACTCTTAACTGCTGAGCCACCTCTCCAGCCACTGTGATTTTTTTAACATAGTTTTTCATATTTGTATGTCAGATCTAACGAAGGTCAGAAGCCACATTTTAAGATCTCCTCTACCCCAAGGTCATGCACATTGTCCAAACTTTCTTCTAAAATTCTCATCATCATTTCCCCATGTTTATCTCACTATCTGAAATCAGAGTCCCTGTCCCCAACCCTTAGAACCTGCACTTTCACCGGGCGGTGGTGGCGCAGGCCTTTAATCCCAGCACTTGGGAGGCAGAGACAGGTGGATTTATGAGTTCGAGGCCAGCCTGGTGTGCAGAGTGAGTTCCAGGACAGCCAGAGATACACACAGAGAAACCCTGTCTCGAAAAACCAAAAAAAAAAAAAAAGAACCTGCACTTTCTACTAAAGCTCCAAGCTTTCCCAGAGTACATGGTCTACATGCTTCTTAAAACAAAAAACACAAAACAACCAAACAACAATAACAACAAGACACATTCCAGCTGGTGACATGGCTCAGGGTACTCAGCAGACAAGCCTCAGGATTCGAGTTCAATCCCCAAAAATCACATGAAACTTAGGAAGAACAACTGACTCCACAAAGCTGTCTCCCGTCCTCATGCACACTGTGATGCCACACGCCCAGCAACAAAACCGCCACCACCAGCACCACCACCACCACCAGTACCACCACCACCACCAGTACCACCACTACCACCAGCACCACCATCACCTCCAGCACTACTACCACCAGCACCAACTCTTTCCCTCAGCAAAAATGTCTATTCAGTTTTTGAAGACAAAGCTCAACTAGAACTTAGAAAAAAATAAAACAAAAATGATACTATATAGAACTTATTACCCCCCTGTCTGTGTTCCTGCGGCAGTCTGTCCTACCATCCTACTAAAAGCATGGCTATGTTTCCCACTTACTGAGGCAAAAACGGTCCAAGGCTATCTGTGTATTCAGCACTTCACTTAATGAACGAATGAATAAGACAAACAATCTCTGTTTTAAAAAAGGACTCTATTAAACGTTTCCACAGAGCAGAGTGCTTCCGACCATGCTAATCAGGCTCTTGGAGCTGATTCTCCTAAAGAGAAAAACATTAAGCTGGCTCCATCACCACAATGAAACCCGTCTGCCTTGTTGGCAAAGTAAGGAGCCAGAAGCGCAGCCCAGAGCCAGCCTGCCCTTCTAGAGCTCCGGGCAGACTGGTGCGAGCTGAGAGACCCCTTCAACCCAGCCAGTGCTCAGCCACCCCCAGGATCCAAGAAGTTACACTGCTTTGGAAGAATGTGTCTTCCAGGACGCAGAATGCCACTCCTGGAAGCACACATATCAGGCTTCCTACTCTCTCCTGACAAATGAATTTGGTTCTATTACACTTTGTTATAATAAAAAGTCAGGAAATGTCCCAGAAAAAAAAAATGCTAGCACCATCATTTGTGTGGTCTGATTCAAAATAAAATAAAATAAAATAAAATAAAATTTAAAAATCCTCTTACAGCAGATCTCCCTAAAATAACCTGGGGGGGGGTGTATAGCTGACACTCTGGGGATAAAAGATGGCCTTGGCTGTCCTCATGCAATATCTGGCAGCCAAGTCTATAACAGTTTCTCTAAAGAGAAAACACACACACACACACAGAACAATATGATCTTGGTTGCACCTTTTCCTAAAAACTTTTTTAATCGCTCTCCCCATCCCTCCCTCCCTCCCTCCCTCCTTCCCTCCCTCTCTCCCTCCCCCACCCTTTGCGTGTGTTATGTACAGGGGCAGGTGTGCACTCACACCTAACACGCAGAACTCAGAAGTGGATGCTGGGTGTCCTGCTCCCACTCTCTGATTCATTCTTTTGAGGAAGAGCCTCTTGCTGACCCTGGAGCTGGGTTGGCAGCCAGCACACCCCAGTGACAGTCTTGTCTCTGCCCTCCACAGCTCTGCAGTTACAGGAGCATCTAGCCATGTCCTGCTTCTTTCTCACGTGGGTAGTGGGGATTTGAACTCAGTTCCTCATGCTTGTGTGGCAAGGCTCTTAACCATCTCCTCAGCTCTGTATCTCTTTAGAGAAGCCAATATGTTGAGCCACCAAATAGCCCCTAATTTAGGAAACAAAATGATCTGTATTCATTTTGAGACAGGGCCTCATGGAGCCTGTGCAGACATGGATGGCCTGGAGCCCCAGATGCATTTGCTTTTATGTCTCAAGTGCTGGGTTACAGGCATGTGCCTCCACACGGGGGTTATTCATTGCTGGAGATGAACACAAGGCTTCCTGGGTGTCAAGCAAGGAAGCACTCTAACCACTGAGCTATGACCCCTTACCCTAAGAAGTAATGCTTTTTAAACAAACACTTAATTTTTAAAATCAAATGTTTTGCTCATTTTATAGCAAGAAAGGAAAGAAGGATGCAAGGGAAGGAGAGAAGGAGGGAGGGAAGGAGAGAGGGAAGGAGAGGCAGGGAGGAAAGAGAAGAACTTCTATAGAGAGAAATCAAGCCAAGAATTTTTTTTTAAGATTTATTTGACAATTAAAAAAAATCTCTTGTGGAATAAAGGTATGCAAAGGTGTAACCAGACACTCTCACCAGGACGAGATGGGATTAGCTTTGTATCTCGTATAATCTTCTCCACAGAAGAATGCAATTTCAGTTTCACTGGCTAAAAAGAAGAAAAATGGAAAAGGAGAGAAAAATGATTTTAAGTGAAACTAGATTTTAAGCAAGTATGGAAATCCATATTACATTGGTTTGTTATCATAGGTGCTTAAAATGAAAATTAAATGTTGGTTAGGTTACATAATAACTTTTTACCAGACTAGCCAGAAGTTTCAGTGTGGTTATAGATTAAAACTCAAATAAATTAAAAATAAAAAAAGGAATAACTCCTGCTGGTGGGATGGCTCAGTGGGTAAAGGAGCTTGCGGCCAAGACCAACACAAGAGTGAAAGTTTTCAAGACACACTAACATTGCTCATTTATACTCCTGGAAAACAGAAAGCCTTGATCTCTTTCAAACAGGCTAATCAGTTCCAGAAGGGAAGGGACTCCCTCCACCCCCCACAAAGTTAGCCTGTAGGTATAATAATTTAATACTTAGAGGATCAGTGGAATATTTTACAGATCACTTTACATTCTCCCTCATGACCCATCAAAATATGTGTCTGAAGAAGTTAATTTTTGGCCCTGCTCATGATTAATTCATGAGGCTTCAGCAATATGCAAAGTGAAAGACACAAATTGGCTTCTATGCAATACCTTCAAATGCCTCTAATTATTCACAGGGGAAATGGCTCAGCTAACGGACCCACAGAGGTTCAGGGCGGCCATGATGCTTTCAACCCAACGGGTCAAGGACTCCCGGCTTCTGAAACTATAACTCAGCAGCATTATTAATTCAGATCTGATGGCGAGCCTTCCCATTATTAAACATTGTGGTTCTTCAAGGTGTTGGCGCCCACAAGTTCCGCGGTGGTTTTGTTTTGTTTTTTTTTTTAAATGAAACCAGGAGTTAATACAGTCTGCTCAGCTTTCACAGAAGGCAAAAGGGCCCTTGCGAAGCTCAACAAGAAAACAGACATGATTATTCGTAATGAATACTGAGTACTCAATTAACATAGGTGCTCCAAAGAGACAAGCAAAACTCTTCAACCCAAATAAATAGGATAAGGAGTGCAGAGGATTACTGCTGCTTGGTGGCATATGGCTCTAATCTCATCATTAGATTCTATCACAAAAGGATGAAATTCGAGAGATTAGCATGACATTTCATTAAGAATGTTTTGTTGTTTGCAAGAATATCATATGTAGTATCTCTGTACCGTAAGCTATTCTGTGCTCTAGAGGAAATAAGCAAATATTGAGAGAAGAAATCCGATATGGCCATATCCACGGCTCCTTGGTCCAGATGTACTGTGTCCTCGGGATTAAATGAAACCCGAGTGGTTGATAATTTGATTGGGATGGCTCATCACATTGAGCCTGGGTCGGGGAGACCACTGAGGGAAACCGAGACTCAAAGAGGGGCTGAGAATGGAGACTCTCTAGGTAAAGAGTGGGTCGGTGTGCAGCTCAGCCGCTTGGTAGGTAGTCATATTTCAAAGAATGGCTCGGAGGCTCTCCATCAACAATCGGCTGCCTGGAAAAAGGGAGGTTGTAGGGACAGGGAGATAGCTCAGTGAGTAAGAGCACTCATCCTGCACGCATGAGGACCTGAGTTTGAATCCCCAGCATCCATGTAAATGCTGAACATAGTGTGTAAGCCTGTTACCCCCGACCAGCCAGGCTAGCTGAAACACTTAAACAACAAAACACAGAGCTTCTGGTTCCATGAGAGACCCTGTGTCAAGGATGCCCGGCATGTGTAATGGAGGAAGACACTGGATGCTCTTCTCTGGCCTCACAAGCATGCAACAAGTACACACACTGAGAAAAGAGAGGGTGAGGCTTCAGAAAACTAGCTATTCCAAGAAGGTATCTGGTACACTATCCTTCAACAAAACAAAGGCAAGCCTACTCCTCTCTCTCTTCCTTCTTCTCTTTTGGCTAGTTTCTAGCTCAGGGTAGCTTTGAACTCCCTATACAGCCAAAGATGACCATGAACCTCTGATCTTCCTGCCTCTACCTCCCTAGCTCTGGCTCTGAAATACAAGCATGCCCCCTCAGCCCAGTGTATGCAGCAGGGGGGATGGGTCTCAGGGCTCTGTGAATGCTAGGTAGGCACTCTACTCACTGGGTGACATCCCTGGCCCTCTAGCTGTGTTTCTAGAAAAGAAATCAAAGCTACATGCTCTTAATAGTCACAGGGCAAGGCTTCCTCTCAGGAAAATCAGAGAGAGCATAAACCCTGAACAGGCAGCTCAGTTTTGAGAGACTTTAGTGAGTATCTCAGTATTTATGGCTTTTGTTTGTCTTGGTTTGTTCTGAAACAGGGTCTCAATATGTAGACCAGGCTAACCTGGAACATAGACCAGGCTGGCCTCAACTCACAAAGACTATGTTACTCAAGTTTAAAATCTACTTTTTTTGTTTGTTTAGTTTGGGTTATTGAGGACATGTTGAACCGTACAGTGCAGGCTGAGGGCCTGGAGCTTATGACACCCCTGCCTCTGTTTCTCTAATATTAAGATTACAGCTATGTGCTACCATAGCCAGCTGTAATTCAGGATTTATAGAGTGTGGATAGATACAATGGTGCAGAATAAAGTCACTGAAGGTGAAGATTTTATTTTCAGATCAACACCCCCAGTCTCTCTGGAAAACTGGATCAACAAGTGGATTAAATTGTATGCTTCAAATTACTATTATTTTTTAAAAGCTCAACTGCAACAAATTAGAAAACACAGACTACAAATTATTCTAACTATTCAAAAGTAAAACATAAAGGACTAGGGAGATGGCTCCGTGGTTAAGAGTATTTTCTGTGCAAGCAAGAGGACCTGAGCTTGAATCCCTGGCACCATGTAAACAACTCTGTGTGGTCACATATGCCTATAACCCTTGTTCTATGGCAGGAAGAGACAGGAGCTCCCTAGAACATGGTGGCCACTGCCCTAGCTCCAGGCCTCAAAGAAAGCAGGTGGAGATGAGTAGACCAGGACACTCCATGTCCTCCTCTGGCCTTCATGAACATCTGCCCCTTAATACATGTATGTCACACATATATACACATACAAAGCACAGTATAACACAGCTTAATCTCAAGGAATCACAAGAAAAAACACCCAATCGATTAACCTGGGCCTATAGGAACTCACAGAGACTAAAACACAAAACAGGGAGCCTGCGTGGGTCTAACCTAGGCTCTCTGCACATACGTTACAATTGTGTAGCTGGGTCTTGCTGTGGGTCTCCTAACCATGGGAGCAGAAGCTGTCTCTGACTCTGTTGCCTGCCTTTGGGACCCTTTCCCCTGCTGCATTCCCTTGTCTAGCCCCAATAGGAGAGAGAGGAGGTGCCTAGTCTTGCTGCAACTTGATATGCCATGGCTGGTTGATATTCATGGGGCGCCCACCCTTTCCTGAGGAGAAACAGAGAAGGAGTGGATGGGGGTGTGGAGGGGCGGTGAGGAGGAGAGACTAGGAGGAGGGAGGGAGGGGAGACTGCCATCAGAATATAAAAACAAACAAACAAACTAGATATCTGTTGGAAATATTTGAGGGAATGAGTTTATGTACTTAAATTATTGAACAATTTAACAGAAATTACAAATGATTTTCTTTCTTAGACAAAGTTTCCTGTAGACCAAGCTTTCTTATGTAGATGAGGATGAGTCTGAATTCTTATCCCGCCTCAACCTCCCAAATGCTGGGGTGACAGGCAAGTGCCACCACTGCCTGCTCCATGCAATGCTGGGCCTGAAGCTGAGGGCTACCAACAGAGCTACACCCCTGCCCCACACAAGTGGCTCTATGGCCACTACACAGTCACATGCTCTTCTGGTGTCCCCTCCACTCTTCCTCTCCAGACTCTACTGACAACAGTTCTCCATGCACAGCAGACAAGAGCCCGTGGGAAGATGGCACCTGGTTTTAAATTTATTGTGCTTAGAGCACAGTCAGGTACAGAGGTCTCCGCATGCGAGTCTGAAGAGTGTAAGACCTAAAATCCAGGTGTCTTCATGTCACCATCAAATGAAACCAAGGAGAGACCCTCCAATACACTGTGGGGGTCTTAATACCGGCCTGCCAGTGTAACATGAGCCAGGACACCCAGACTTTGGATATAAAATTAAGAATTTTAACCAACAAAACAAAAAATAAACAAACACTCACCTAGCCGAGTTTTTTTTTTTAACACTTCTAAACAGATCTCTCACTGTCCCTCTCATACACACTCACTCACTTCGCTTGCACACACACACACACACACACACACACACACACACATGCCCAAGCACACACACATACCTCTTTAATGGGAGGTTGATGATTATCTGAACTAAGAGGAAGCAAGAATAACCTATTCTAACTCGGAAATGTCAAGAAAACTTAAATACAATATAATTAATCCTCTGACCTATCAAGACAAACTTATCAGCTATTGACAAAGACATACTATAAGCTCTCTCTATATTCCTGACCCTAGGCTATGACTTATGTAGTCTGAGAAAAATTGACTTTTGTGTGCTGGCTTTGTGGAACAACCAGGACAGATTGTCAAGTGATGATGAATAGCTTTTTTTTTTTTAAAAGGTAGTTCTCAGAGCAAACAGAGGTCCAAAGACAAAAGTTTCACCCTCTCTTCTGCTTTAGGAAAACATCCTATGCTTCCTTTTGTATGTATGTTAGTGTAAGAATATGTACATGTATGTGTGAATGTACATGTAGAGGCCAGAAGTCAACTTTATGTGTCATTTCTTAGGCACCATACACCTGGTCTTGCTTTTGAGATTTATTCTTCTTATGTGGATGGGCTTTTGCCTACATATATGTCTGTGTGTCACATGCATACAGTGCCTGTGAAGGCCAGAAGAGGCTGTCAGATCCCCAGAAACTAGAGTCACGGAGAGTTGTGGGCCACCATGTGAGTGTTGAACCTGAGTCCTCTGGCAGAGTAGTCAGTGTCCTTAACCGTTGAGCCATCTCTGCAGACCCCACCTGGTTGTTTTTGAGACAGGGTATCTCATTGGCCTAGAGCTCACCAAGTAGGCTAGGTTGGCTG